TACCTGTGTTAGAAAAGAAGAAAGATCTCAAATCAATAATCTACGCTTTTTTTTTTTTGAGACGGAGTTTTGTGTTTCTAGGGTATCTATGGTCCCAGCTCCTTGAGAGGCTGAGGCAGGAGGACTGCTTGAACACAGGAAGTTGATGCTACAGTGAAGCCATGTTCACATCACTGCACTCTAGCCTAGGTGACAGAGCAAGACCCTGCCTCAAAAAAAAAAAAAGAAAGAAAGAAAGAAAAAGAGAAAGAGTCTGTATGTGTCTCTGGTGATATATTTCACCTTCATGTCTATTTTGTCTGATATTAGTATAACCATTCCAGTTCTCTTTGGGGTACAGTTTGTATGGTATATCTTTTCTCATATTTTCACTTTCAACCTCTTTGTGTCTGTGAGTCTAAAGTGTGTAGATTGTGGCCAGGTGAGGTGGCTCACACCTGTAATCCCAGCACTTTGGGAGGCCGAGGCGGGCAGACAACCTGAGGTCAGGAGTTCGACACCACTTAGTGGCTGGGCGAGGTGACTCACGCCTGTAATCCCAGCACTTTGGGGGACCAAGGCGGGTGGATCACCTGAGGTCAGGAGTTCGAGACCAACCTGGGCAACATGGTGAAACCCCATCTCTACTAAAAATACAAAAATTAGCCAGTCATAGTGATGGGTGCCTGTAATCCCAGCTACTTGGGAGACTGAGGCAGGAGGATCACTTGAACCCAGGAGTTAGAGGTTGTAGTGAGCCAAGACTGTTCCATTGCACTCCAGCCTGGGCAACAAGAGTGAAAGTCTGTCTCAAAAAAATAAATAACATAAAAAATAAAGCGTTTAGAATGTAAAGAGCATATAGTTGGATCTTGTTTCTTTCTTAACCCACTCTGAAAATCTTGGCCTATTACTTGGAGTGTTCAATTCATTACCATTTAATGGTATTATTGATACAGTTAGAGTTACATATGCCACTGGTTTTTTTGTTTGTTTAGTTTTTGCTTTGTTTTGTTTGAGACAGTCTTGCTCTGTCACCCTGACTGGAGTGTAGTGGAGTGATCCCGGCTCACTACAACCTCCGCCTTCTTGGTTCAAGAGATTCTCCTGCCTCAGGCTTCCCAGTAGCTGGGATTACAGAGGCCTGCCACCACGGCCGGCTAATTTCTTTCTTTTCTTTTCTTTTTCTTTTTTTTTTTTTTGAGATGGAGTCTCACTCCGTCACCCAGGCTGGAGTGAGGTGGTGCAATCTTGGCTCACTGCAACCTCTGCCTCCCGTGTTCAAGCGATTCTCTTGCCTCAGCCTCCCAAGTAGCTGGGGTTACAGGCTCACGCCACCATGCCCTGACAAATTTTGTACTTTTAGTAGAGACGGGGTTTCTACTAAATTAGCCCTATGCCCGGCTAATTTCTGTATTTTTACAAAAATTATGTATTTCGTATGTATTTTTTTATTCCTCTGTTCTTCCGTTATTGCCTTTGTTGTGTTAAATGGATATTTTCCACTCTACCACTTTAATTTCGTATATATATATGAAATATATACCTCATGATCCACCTGCCTCGGCCTCCCAAAGTGCTGGGATTACAGGTGTGAGCCACTGTGCCGGGCCTAATTATTATTTTTATTAAGACGGAGTCTCACTCTGTTGCCCAGGCTGGAGTGCAATGGCGCAATCTCTGCTCACTGCAACCTTTACCTGCTAGGTTCAAGCGATTATTCTGCCTCAGCCTCCCAAGTAGCTAGGATTACAGGCACCCATCACCATGTCCAGCTAATTATTGCATTTTTAGTAGAGACAGGGTTTCACCATGTTGGTCAGGTTGGTCTCGAACTCCTGACCTCAAGTGATCTGCCCACCTCAGCCTTCCAAAGTGCTGAGATTACAGCCATGAGCCACCGTGCCCAGTCTTTTTTTTTTTTTTTTTTTTTTTTTGAGGCGGAGTCTCACTCTGTCACCCAGGCTGGAGTGTAGTGGTGCAATCTCAGCTCACTGTAAGCTCCGCCTTCTAGGTTCACGCCATTCTCTTGCCTCAGCCTCCCCAGTAGCTGGGACTACAGGCGCCCGCCACCACGCCTGGCTAATATTTTGTATTTTTAGTAGAAACGGGGTTTCACTGTGTTAGCCAGGATGGTCTTGATCTCCTGACCTAGTGATCTGCCCGCCTCAGCCTCCCAAAGTGCTAGGATTACAGGCGTGAGCCACCATGACTGGCCATGTTCTTGTTTCTTTGTATGTCTCATAATTTTTAAATTGATACTACTTTAGGTAAGATATTGTAGAATGGAAACTCTGGGTTCGAACCCACTGGTTGGTGGTGGTTTTTGTTGCCTTAGTGACTTGCTCGGATGAATTCTGCAGGGTGTTTCCCCTGCAGGCTATGTCTACAGATGTGTTTGTAAGTTAAAAAAAGAATTCTTTTCTAAGGCCGGGCGCGGTGGCTCAAGCCTGTAATCCCAGCACTTTGGGAGAGGTTGAACAGCGGATCACCAGGTCAGGAGAATGAGACCATCCTGGCGAACACGTGAAACCCTCGTCTCTACTAAAAACACAAAAATAGCTGAAGTAGGTGCATGGTGCGGGTCCCAGCTACTGAGGCTGAGGCAGGAGAATGGCGCAGTGGGCGGAGCTGCAGTGAGCCGAGATCCGGCCACCACACTCCGTGCCTGGGAGATAGAGCGAGATCTGTTCAAAAAAAAAAAAAAAAAAGCACCCTCTTTCTATAACATTTAAGTCTGGCTTCCTAAGACTGGCCCCTGGGTCAGTGTAGCTTAGTGGACAATTACTGGTTCGAATACTCTGCTTTCTTCAGATCGTATAAATCTTTTGCTTCACAATTACTGGTTCGATACCGTGCTTGGAAACATTCTGAACCAGCAGCTTCCAGCCTCTGCCTGATGGCGCTGTGTGGGATGTGGGTGCATTTGGAATTCAGGCAGTTTACAATTGGGCCTTGGCTTTTACTTTTGTTTTTTTTTTTTTTTTTTTTTTTTTTTTTTTTTTGAGGTAAGAGCTTGCTCTGTCGCCCAGGTTGAGTGCACAGTGGCCGGGATCTCGGCTAACTGCAAGCCCGGGCCTCCCGGATTTACGCCATTCTCCTGCCTCAGCCTCCCGAGTAGCTGGGACTACAGGCGCCGCCACCTCGCCCGGCTAGTTTTTTGCATTTTTAGTAGAGACGGGGTTTCACCGTGTTAGCCAGGATGGTCTCGATCTCCTGACCTCGTGATCCGCCCCGTCTCGGCCTCCCAAAGTGCTGGGATTACAGGCTTGAGCCACCGCGCCCGGCCTACTTTTTGCTTGTATAAAGCCTCATGTTCGGCCAGGGCGGTGGACAGCTGGGACCCTCGTCTGTCTTTCTGTAGTGTGCACCCAGCCTTGCAGACCACCAGGGACACCTGGCCACCTCTGAAGACCACCGAAGCTGTTCTATTTGCAAATGCAGAAAATCTGAGGCAGGTCTCAGTTCATTTAAAAAGTTTATTTTGCCGAGGTTGAGGCCGTGCCAGTGACACAGCGGCAGGAGGTCCCGACGTGTGCCCGAGGTGGTCGGAGCACAGCTTGGTTTTATATGTGTTAGGGAGACGTGAGACATCAATCATACATGTAAAATGAACACTGCAGCCAGCAGCGGTGACTTACGCCTGTAATCCCAGCACTGTGGGAGGCCGAGGCGGGCAGATCACCTGATGTCAGGAGTTCCAGACCAGTCTGGCCAACATGGTGAAACCCCGTTTCTACTTAAAATACAAAAATTAGCTGGGTGTGTTGGTGGGTGCCTATAATCCCAGCTATTTAGGAGGCTGGGGCAGGAGAATCGCTTGAACCTGGCAGGCGGAGGTTGCAATGAGCCGAGATCGCGCCACTGCACTCCAGCCTGGGTCAGAAAGCAAGCCTCCGTCTCAAAAAAAAAAAAATTGGTTCGGTCTGGAAAGGTGGGACAACTTAAAGCAAAAGCCATGGGGGAGGGAGCTTCCTGGGCACAGATAGGTGATACACAAACAGTTACAATGTTTTGAGTTTCTGATTAGCCTTTTTTTTCTTTTCCCTTTTGATCAGTCTTGCTCTGTCGCCAGGCTGGAGTACAATGGCGTGATCTCGGCTCACTGCAACCTCCACCTTCCGGGTTCAAGCGATTCTCCTACCTCAGCCTCCCGAGTAGCTGGGACTACAGGCGCTGCCACCTCGCCCGGTTAGTTTTGTATTTTTACTAGAGATGGGGTTTCACCGTGTTGGCCAGGCTGGTCTCGAACTCCTGCTCTCAATGTGTGCCACCGCGCCCAACCTTCTGATGAGGCTTTTCAAAGGAGGCGGCCAGATGTGCATCTATCTCACTCTGAACAGAGCGGGAGGCAGGTTTGCCCTGAGCAGCTTCCAGCCTGAGCTTTCCTTAGTGATTCTGGGGGCCCAAGAGATTTTGGTTTCCCATGTTTTATGTACTGAATGTCCTGGTTCAACTTCCGACTTCGCTCTCAGATATGGAAAGCTCTGACAAACCTTCTTCTTGCATCTGTCGGGTCTCAAATGCCTTGAGTTTAAAATAACCTTCACATCCACTCTGGGGTTCTGAGTGGGTCCCCACAGCTCGAAATCACCCAAGGAGGGTCCAAGGGGTGGAGGAAAGTCGATGAAAGGTTGGCGGCTGCGGAAACCCAGGGCGGGCAAGGAGGGTCCCTGGAGGATGATTTTCCACAACGGAGCGGCTTTCCGAGGCGGCAGGTGTGTGGGTTCGAGGCAGGGCTCTGGGGCCGCTTAGGCGAGAACCGGATGAAGCCCCGAATTCGAACCCGGGGGCTGGGCAGCGCTGGGCCTCAGCGCCCACGGTCTACCCGCAGCCCGGGCCTTATGTGCGCCTCAGCGAGGCCCAATTTCCACACTGCCGGTGCCTCGTTTCCAGCGAGCTGTCGGTGAGTCCCGGCGAGTCCCGACCCCTCTCTAGCCACGGCCTGACGGGCACGGTGTTGACCTCGTCCTCTGACCTCCGACCCCGCGCCGCGCCCTCTCGTCGCCGGTCCCCTCGGAGCCGGGCGCGGTTTCCGGGGAACGCGTTTCCCGCCGCACCGTGGGCCGCCCGGATCGCGCAGGACGGGGCACCTTCCGGTGGCGGCGCGGAGCCCTGGGCCCGGCTGCGGCCCGGCGGCGGCCCCGGCGCTGTGCGCGCGTTCGCGGCGGCCCGGGAGCGGCAGGGGCCCCGGGCGGCGGCGAGGCCGGAGCGGGGCGGGCCCGGGACACCGGCTCCCGGCGCCCTCGGAGCCGAAGGCGCGCGGCGGACACGGCGGGGCCCTCGCGCGGTGAGGACGCGTAGGCGTGTGGGCTCCTGTCACTTCACATCGCGAACGCCGGCCGCCGCGTGGCTCTGGCCGAGTCTCGCGAGGGGCGCCCCTGTGGCGTTTCGAGCCAGCCGGGCCGCCTGCGGAGAGGGAAGCTCTGCCCTTCCCTGGCCTGGCGCGGAGCCAGTTCTCCCGGGAAGGGGCCGGGGGTCCTCGCAGGGCCCGGCCGCGGCGTGACCCTGCCGGGGTCCGAACTTCACCGCAGGGCGGCCTGATCAGGGCCAGGCCCGTGGGGACGCTGGCGTCACGGTGTCTTCCCCCTTCACGCCACTCCTACCAGGCCGACATCGAGTCTCGCTCCCCAAGGAGGGTCAAGGCCCAGGGGTCCAGCGGCTGCCCCGAGGTCCGCTAGGTGGTGGCGGCACTGGAGTGGCCTTTCTCCAGCCTGCACCGACCCCGCCTTGAGTGCCCCTGCGTGTGACCAACGGTGGTACCGGAGCGGCCTTAGAGGCTGACCGCTGCCTCTGAGTTGAGTCTTAAGCCCCTCGTTGGGCCTGGCTGAGCCCCCGGTCTGCGCCTTTCCCCCAGCCTGGAGACGATGCCAAAGCTGCAGGGCTTCGAGTTCTGGAGCCGCACCCTGCGTGGCGCCCGCCACGTGGTGGCCCCCATGGTGGACCAGAGCGAGCTGGCCTGGAGGCTGCTGAGCCGGCGCCACGGAGCCCAGCTCTGCTACACGCCCATGCTGCACGCGCAGGTCTTCGTCCGCGACGCCAACTACCGGAAGGAGAACCTGTACTGCGAGGTGTGCCCCGAGGACCGGCCCCTCATCGTGCAGGTGCGCGGCAGGGGCTGTGGCGGCGGCAGCGGTTGGGTCCCGGGCCCTGGAATGCCTGGGGAAAAACCCTTCCCTCTGTGGCCGGACATCACTTTCAGCCTTTCCAGACAGCTCAGTTCCAGGAGGAGAGGGAGAAGGTGGCACCAGGCGTGTAGAGTCCACATGGCCACAGCAGTGATTCCTGTGGTGGAGCCAGGGCTGCCAGGTGCACCTCCCAAAATCCAACCCTATTCTCTGGCTGAGGCAGCTAGGGTGCTGTGAGGTTCGCAGCTCTGCTGGGGCCTCTGGATTGCTGCCTCTCACACTCACACTCCCTCTTCAGAACAAGTAGAGATGGCTCTGCTCTTCAGAAGTCAGTGATTGTGGCTTCTGCCACAGTTCAGAAAATCTGTAAATCCGGGTGGTTTGGGGACGACTCCTGGCTTTGTCATAGTGTAAGCCTTCGCAGGGCAGGGCACCCTCCTGCGGTGAACCTGGGCCCACACCCTCCTGGGGTCACACTGGACCTCTCGTAGGGCTGGGCAGCAAGGGACTAGCGCCTGGCTGGGTGCATGGCTGACTCCTGCGTCTTCTCCAGTTCTGTGCCAATGACCCGGAAGTGTTTGTTCAGGCGGCTCTCCTGGCTCAGGATTACTGTGACGCCATTGACCTGAACTTGGGCTGCCCACAGATGATAGCCAAGAGAGGTGAGCTCCATGTGGAGCATGGGGGCACCCGGGGCAGGGGCCAGAGCCAGCTCAGTGCAGCCCCAGGTGTGGTGAGCTTGGAGGATGGCAGGCCTTGCCTCTGTCGTGACAGTGGCTCAGGCTGGAGCCAGCCGTCCTCTGTGCTCTGCCTCTGGAGGGTGGCTCTCCTCAGGCCTTCGGGGCTGGGGGCTGAGCCCTACTGGCTCTCCCTTCCCTCAGGGAGCTCTCTCTGCATAAACATGATTGCTGATACAGGGTCCCCGCCACCCCCTTACACTGCTGTGTGTGGGACTGAGCCTGTCTACCTCACTGGGCCCCTGAGGAGGTGTTACTTGGTCCCAGACCGTGGGGCGGTGGGGGTTCCATCCAGCACCTTCTGAGCTTAGGCAGCTGGGCAAATAGAGCCCCTGAATCTGATGCCGACAAACCACTGCTCTGACTGTCCCACTGCCCCAACTAGAGACACTGCTGGTTCTGGGGACCTGCGTCCGGCCTGGCAGGGCAGCTTCTGGCCTGCATGGATGGAGGAGAGGGTGCAGAGGGGGTGCAAGGCCTCGGCTCCACCAGCCTTAACACAGGTGACAGCCAGGCCATGCTTGCTCTTTGCAGGTCACTATGGTGCCTTCCTGCAGGATGAGTGGGACCTGCTCCAAAGAATGAGTGAGTTGGCTGGGTGGGTGGTGAAGGACCCCCAGAGACCCTCGAGAGGGACACATGGGCACTGTCCACTTGGTTGGGGCTTAGGAGAGGACAGGCGTTGGCAGGAGCTCTCAGCATCACCCTGGGGCTTCCTGCCCAAAGCAGCCTCTCTGCTGGAAGGAGGTGGCTGTGAAGTTGCCTGTCCTGTGCCACCTACCCCTTAAAACCAGACAGTAGGTGCCAGGACAGAGTCCTTGCTTGGGCCCAGCCCCAGATGTCCTGGGAGATAAAGCTGGCCTCGGCCCTGCTTGTTTGAACTTGGGAAGGCTGGGGGAATGGCGGAGGGAGCCTGCCCAGCAACCTGAGGGAGACACCCAGATGGTGGCCCAGGCTGCCTCCCAACCTCGCAGCAAAGCTGCCTGGACTCCGCTATCTGCGGGGCCCTGGGCTCTGGGGCTTGGCCGCTGAAGTGGGAACACCATGGCCCCCTCGGAAGCTGCCTGTCTTCTCCCCAGTTTTGCTGGCCCACGAGAAACTCTCTGTTCCTGTCACGTGCAAAATCCGTGTCTTCCCGGAGATTGACAAGACCGTGAGGTACGCCCAGATGCTGGAGAAGGCCGGTTGCCAGGTGAGCCCTGGTCTCGCGGGGGTGTCGTGGGCCTTGGCTGGGCCTTTGCGCAGAGGACACAGCTGAGGCTCTTCTTGTGTCCACTCAGACACTGTGCACTGTTGGCCTCATGGGGGCAGTGGCCCTCCTGACTGGCCTGCCCCCACTGACTCTGAGTGCCACCACCCCAAGCCCAGGCCTTTGCAACAGAAACTGCTTTCCTGGCTCCAGAGTTTTGTCCCTGTGGATAGAGTAATGTCAGCATCTCTACCATGTTCCTAGTGTCACAGAGGCCGGCAGGGCCTCCTTTGGGGATACTCAGCATCCCGTCTCCCTAGAGGGTCAGGAAGGGGCCAACAGGCTGTCAGCAGAGCTGCTCCCCTGCCTGGGTCCCCTGCACACCGAGCCTGGCCTGGGGCAGGCCTGGATGGGCTGCTGTCTCCAGGGGTGCCCCTCAAGACACTCAACCTTCTGAAGGCAGACAGCAACCCTGGTGACCCAGGGATGAGCTTGTATAGGGGCTGCTGGGCCCAGGCCCCACTTTCCTCCGTGCCCCACCAGCCTGGAGCCAGTCCCTCCACACCTTTGGCCTTGGGCAGTGGGGATGCTGCCACTTCCTGGCCTGACTCTTGCATGGGCCTAGGCAGCACATGCAGCCCGAGGCTCCCACAGAGTGCAGAGCCTTTGGGGCAGGCCCCAAATGGTCTTTCCTCAGCCCTGCTTCAGGAGCTGAGATGGTGAGGGAAGGGTCCCTGGAGTCGGGCATGGGGCACAGGGCTTGGAGGGGCAGAGGGGGCTCAGAGGGGTGGAGTTGGGGTGAAGGGGGCACGGACGGGCACAGGGGAATCGGGCGGAGGGGGCACAGAGGGGGCTCAGAGGGGTGGAGCGGAGGCAGAGGGGGCGTGGAGGGGCGGAGGGGGCGTGGAGAGGCGGAGGGGCCTGGAGGGGCGGAGGGGGCGTGGAGGGGCGGAGGGGCCTGGAGGGGCGGAGGGGCGTGGAGGGGTGGAGGGGGCTCTGAGGGGTGGTGAGGGGCTCTGAGGGTGGGAGGGGGTGTAGGGGGCACGGACGGGCACAGGAGACTCAGGGCGTGAGGGTGGCTAGGAGAGGTGGAGCAGGGGCAGAGGGGGCGTGGGAGGGGCGGAGGGCGTGAGGCTAGGGGTCGAGGTGGAGCACGGGCGGAGGGGCGGAGGCGTAGGGGCGGAGGGGCGTGGAGGGGTGGAGGGGGCTCTGAGGGGTGGAGGGGGCTTGGAGGGGTCAAGCGACTGCTGGTCTGTCCTAGTTGCTGACGGTGCACGGGCGCACCAAGGAGCAGAAAGGGCCCCTGTCAGGTGCGGCATCCTGGGAGCACATCAAGGCCGTGCGGTGAGTGGATGTGGGCGGTGGGTGACACAGCCCTCAGTCCTTGGGGCTTTGCTAGAGGGTCCAAGCTCCACACCGCAGGGTGCTTGGCTCACCTGACGCCCGTGACCACTGAGGGGGCTAGGGCCGTGGCTAGGGGCAGCATCGCCTGGGAGCAGAAGCTCCCTGCCAGGATGGAGTCGGGGCTGTCCGGGGCCTGGTGGTGTGCTGGGCAGGTGGAGGGACAGGTGTTTCTCTGTCAACAGGAAGGCTGTGGCCATCCCTGTGTTTGCTAATGGGAACATCCAGTGCCTGCAGGATGTGGAGCGCTGCCTCCGGGACACGGGTGTGCAGGGCGTCATGAGCGCAGGTGGGCAGGGCCCGGGACAGCAGCTGGGGCCCCATGCACAAGGCCTGATGCCACCACCCAGGTCGGTTCTTCCCACTGCCTACTGCCCTCCCCACCATGCTGTTCACAGATGGTGTTCATCAATCCCAGTCTGCTCTGAGGGGCCTGACCTGGCCTTGTCCCTTGTGAGGTGGCACAGGAGGGTGTCCTGAGTGTCCGAGGCTTTCCTATGCCATCCACCTGGAGTAGCCCATGAGGCGTCCTTCCTCCCCTTCCTCCCACAGAGGGCAACCTGCACAACCCCGCTCTGTTTGAGGGCCGGAGCCCTGCAGTGTGGGAGCTGGCCGAGGAATACCTGGACATCGTGCGAGAGCACCCCTGCCCGCTGTCCTATGTCCGGGCCCACCTCTTCAAGCTGTGGCACCACACGTGAGTCGCCCCCTAAGGCGGAAGCCACGTTGGGGGGTTGCCCAGGCAGATACTGTCAGAGCCCACCTGGGGCATTTAGCAGGTTTTGTCAAAACAACTTGCTGCTAAGTCAGGTCTTGAGGGGCTGGGGTGACTTAGGAGTGGAGTTGGACAAGAAAAGACACAGGTCCCTGTGTGCCCAGTGCTCAACCTGGGGCCTGATGGTGGAGCCGGGAGCCCAGCCTGCATGACAGGGCCTCTGTCTCAGGCTGCAGGTGTACCAGCAGCTGCGAGAGGAGCTGGCCAAGGTGAAGACCCTGGAGGGCATCGCTGCCGTGAGCCAGGAGCTGAAGCTGCGGTGTCAGGCAGGCGCTGGGGCTGGTGGGAGCCTGGCCTTGGGGGGGGTGAGGGCCAGGGGCCATGACCAGGGCCTGGGGCTTTTGCAGGAGGAGATATCCAGGCAGGAGGGAGCGAAGCCCACCGGCGACTTGCCCTTCCACTGGATCTGCCAGCCCTACATCCGGCCGGGGTGAGAGCCCAGCCAGCCCTGGGCAGTGATGTGCGCCAAGGTGTGGGCTCTACCCTGTGCCCACAGTGCTGCGCCTGCGCCGCTTGTCCTCAACCATTATGGCCAGTCAGCTCCTGCCCGAGGGAAAGGAGGAGGGAGGTTTCAGCTCCAAGCAGCACACACCTGCCATGTGCCCCTCGGTGTCCTAGGTGGCGGGTGCTGGTGACTCAGCTGTGTCCTCCCTCAGTGGACACTGGGATTTTAAATCTTTTCTTCCATAAGATACTTCTCTGAGCTCCTCTGATCCTGGAGTTGCCCATGGGTCAGTAGTCTCAGAGGTGAGGCCATCTGTGGCCACAGCCCTGCCTAGAGCTGGTGGCTCAGAGCTCGGGACTGCCCGAGCTGTGGACTCCATCTCGGAGGCCCCAGACTCCCTGGTGGCCACTCCTGAGTGGGCTGCGCACTGCCCATGCTCCTCATAGCAGCAGCACTCACCATGGCCGCCTGGGGCCTCCTCACCCTGGGGCCTCACCCGGGCTCAGGCCCATGTGGCTGTGGCTGCCGAGCCTCTCACGGTGTCCTTGGGCTCTGCCCTCTGTCCTCGCCTCAGGCCCAGGGAGGGGAGCAAGGAGAAGGCAGGTGCACGCAGCAAGCGGGCCCTGGAGGAGGAGGAGTGTGGCACGGAAGTCCTGTCCAAGAACAAGCAGAAGAAGCAGCTGAGGAACCCCCACAAGACCTTCGACCCCTCTCTGAAGCGTAAGTGCTGCTTCCGCTGATGGGCCGGAGAGAGCCTCTTCGTCACCCCCATCCTCCCTGTTGCCAGTGACAGCAACCTATACTTGCGGTCAGCAAGGCTCAAGGCCCAGAGCTGGAAGCAGACGCCTGGGGGCCTTGGCAGAGTGGTCAGCCAGACTTGGGGTCTGAGCACACAGAACCTGTGCAGGCCACAGCCCAGGCATGTGGGACATGGGCTCAGTGAGTCAGATGGGGCTGTGGGACAAGCCCCTCAGCCAGGTGCCACCCAGGTGGCCACCGAGGGGCTCGTCTACAGCTCAGGGCCTCGGGTCCCTGTGGCTGTCCCTGCCCAGCCTCACACAGGATGCCTGAGAGGGAGGCTGGGGTCCCCAGGAGTGTGTGCTGGGCCAAAGGTGCCAGCAGGGTGGGCTGGGAGAGATGGGATGAGGCTGCTCACCCCTCTCCTCTTGGCCACCAGCGGCAAGGCCTCAGCCCAGTGCCGTCTCCCCTGAGACCCCTGTGCCATATCCTGGGCCAGCTCATCTGGGCCCTTAGCAGGTGGCAGCCTCCCAGATTTCTCTGACAGCTTTACAAGCTGAGGGAAGACCAGCGATGACCCTGAAGCCTTCCCATGTAACCCCCAGGGCACTGGCCAGTCCACAAGCAGCTGCCACGTCAGCCCGGTGCCAGCAGTCCCCGCCTGCCACACTGCCCCCTAGGCCACCGCATGAGGCAGCTAGGAGAGGCAGGAAGTCAGTCTTTGGGTTGAATTCTTGATTTGACCCTTCTTGGCCCTTTTGCTTGGGAGACCTGGAACTGAAGGGCATGGAACCCCCCTTGGACCCTGTGGGTGGGAAAACAACTCGCCTTGTCCCTGCCTGGGGGTGGGACAGATGAGGCTGCTTGTCCTGCTGGGGCCCCCCAGACCACCTGCTTCATGTCCGTTTCCTGCAGGATGGTGCCCCCCGCATCCCCTCACCCATTGCTCGCAGAAGGAAAAGCAGATGTGGCCAGCCTGTATCCTCTGCCCTCCCTGAGCCTCCTGGCCTGGCTGGCCACAGCTGGCACAGACGCTGTCAGCAGGCTCCATGCAGGCGGACGGGGCAGCCCCCACAGCCAGGCCACCCCGGCCCTCACTCACCAGCACCCTTTTGTTCTTTTCCTAGCAAAATATGCAAAGTGTGACCAGTGTGGAAACCCAAAGGTGAGTGGGTTCCGGCCACATGCCACCAAGGCTTCAGCTCTGGTGGGTGGGCAGGGTGGTCTCTGCACTCGGGGTAGCAGGTCTGGTGGCTGCCCAGCTGGGTTTGCAGTGTGGCCCAAGGTGGCATGGATGCCTCAGGACGGCTCCTTGCTTCCAGCCAAGCCCCTGCCCAGGACTGGAGTGGGAATAAGTCTGGGTGGTTGGGTGAGGGAGAGGCACCTGGCTTGGGGGCGGTCCCCAGGGCTACATCCAGGCCGTGGGCATCTGGCAGAGACTTTCCCAGCGGGGCTGCTCCCCTGCTGGCCAGCCTGGCCCCAGGAATGGTGCTGGCCACAGGCTCCCGAGCTTTCCTGTGCCCAGGGCAACAGATGTGTGTTCAGCCTGTGCCGCGGCTGCTGCAAGAAACGAGCCTCCAAAGAGACTGCGGACTGCCCAGGTGAGGGCGCCTGCCCCCCGCCCCACAGCAGGCAAACAGGCCCCTCCGCCTCCTGACCCCCGACTCCTCTCACTCGCTCTGCCAGGTCACGGATTGCTTTTTAAAACCAAACTGGAGAAGTCTCTGGCCTGGAAAGAGGCCCAGCCTGAGCTGCAGGAGCCTCAGCCGGCAGCACCCGGAACACCAGGTGGCTTCTCTGAAGTCATGGGCAGTGCCCTGGCCTGAAGGCCCAGAACCCCCACCCCCAGGACTGCTGCTGGAGCTTGGACACGTCCTACTTAAGGAAACGCCTTTTACTCAGGGAATCTCCTGCTACTTAATGTGGAAAGACACGCCCATGCCCCCCTTCGGCCCACTCTGGGGCCTGGAGATGCTGCAGTGGGGAGCAGGCCCCAGGCTGGACCTGCCCTGTCCTCAGCACGCGTGTGCAAAAGCGAACAATAAATCATTTCAAAGATGCAAGAGCCCACAGCCTGTGACCACCGCCCCCCCAGACCCACGGAGGCACGAGCCGGGGCAGGTGCGGTTGGGGCTAGTGGGGTCTTCTGAACAACTGGATACGACTAAATGAAGGCAGCGCATGGGCATCTGTGCAGAGGAAAGTGGCGGCTTAGGTCCCCTCCCCGCCTCCCCTAGGCGCCTCCATAGGCAAATGGCCAGAGCCTCCGGGAGCTTCCTGATGCCGCACAGCCTTGGAAGCACAGCCTGTGGGCCACAGTGGCCGCTGCTGGGGGCTATTGAGCCCGCAGGCCAGGCTGCCCATTTGTCTCACCAGGCCCTGCCTCCAAGCCCAGCCCCAGGGAGACAGCCCTCAGGAATTCCTGCACAGCAGGAAAGAACAGCCAAGGGCAACGCTCAGTCTGCTTTTTAATGGATACCGCCCACTTGTCTGCACCTGACAGAGGCGGGAACAGGAGGGGTCTGGGAAGTGGTGCTGCTGCGCCTGGGTGCCGCACAGTCTGCTCCCTGGGGACAGAAACCCACAGGGTCGAGCCCTGCAGGCCTCTCCTTCCAGGAAGGACCACAACTAGCAGCCGCCTGCCTCCCCAGCCCCAGCAAGGGCATGCAGGCTGGGGGGCACCCAGTGGCCAGGCCTCTTAGCTGGGCTGCAGGCAGCACTGAGCCGCCTGGAGGTCAGGAGGTCCGTGGAGATGGGGAGGGGATGCAGATGTCCTGGAGGCCAAGGTCCACCCCTCACATGTTGGTGCTCATCCGAGACTGGCTGTTGGCTGGAGTCAGCTCCCCCTGGCTCCCTTCTCTGGGTGGGGACTGCAGGGGAGACAAGCAGCAGTTCAGCCACCAGGCCCCACACGCTGTGCACCTGCCCACTGACGCCTGCCCACCTTGACGTGGATCTGGTTGCGGAGCACAGCTGCTCGCAGCATCATGGCCTTGGCGCGGCGCTGGAACTCCTTGCCCATCAGCAGAGACTTCTCAAAAGTGGTGCTGCGCTGATCCACATCCCGGGCGTAGAGGATCTGTGCGGGCACAGGCTCAGCGGGGCCCAGGCTCACCCCCAGCTGCCCCCACCACCCTGCAGCCCACAGCCACCTTGCTGTGCGAGTCTACGCGGGCACTGATCAGCCCCTCCAGGATTAGCTGCGTCAGCTCGTCCTCCAGGGCAGCCACTGTGGTGTTGAAGGCCGCCGCCATCCTATGCATGTCGGCTGACACGTAGGGGCTGAAATACTGCAGAGCGGAGGGAAGTCAGCTCCACAGCCCCCTGTATGCCCACCTGCCGTGTGCCAGCCTGACCCCCACATTACCTGGATGAGGGCACGGTTGCGAATCTGGGTGTACAGGGTCCTGACGTGGGGAGCCAAATACATGTCCAGGAGCAGGTTGTCCTAGGGAAGGGGCTGGTGAGGACCAGGACAGGAGGCCAGGCAGAGCCCCACCTCACCCCCACCCCGGGCAGGACCCCACCTTCATCTCATCCAGCATCTTGAGGCATGAGGCGTACTTGGACTCGTAGAATTTGAAGATGATGTCTCGGACCTGCGGCTCCAGCTCCAAGAACAACTTGAAGGAGCTGGTGAGGCAGACCCCTCAGAGCTCTGTCCTCTGCCTGCCCCTCCCTCCAAGTGGCCAGTGGGACACCAGTCCCCAGACAAAACACCTGAGAAAATGGCAGGGCCAGGGGTCCGGGACATGCAAGGCCAAAGCGGCAGCCGTGGAGAGGGACAGGGACTGCCGGACCAGGGCACCTACCTACTGGAGATGACATTGCGCTGCAGCTCCTGCCGGTCAAAGGTAGCCAAGGCACACAGGCCACCGTAGATGGCCACGTTGCTGGGGGACAGCAGCTGAGGAGCAGAGACCTGGTGTCACAGAAAGTGAAGGGCCAGGCCACCCCTGCCTGCCCATCACCCACTCAGAGAATGCCTAAGACCCCGTTTGTGAGAAACCTCACTCTCCTACAAAAGCAGCCCAACCCATGAACCCGTGCTCTGCCTCCCAAGTCCCCAAGAGGGCTTCTCACCTCAGGGAAGTCGCAGTGATCAAAGGAAGCCAGCAGGAGGCACTTGGCAGCCTGCTTGTACTTCCTGGCAGCCAGCTCCGCCAAACCTAGTGGAGGGAGCCGGGGGCAGCGGGGAGAGGGGGTGAGACCCAGAGCCTGGGGAAACCGCTAAAGCCTGGAGACCAGGGAGAACACGACCACCAGCCGGCTCGCTGGCCTCTCCTGCCCCAGGAGCTGTTCCTCAGTGCTGGGCACAGATACCCTAATCATGCGTGGAAACAGCCCCGCCAGTGCCAAGCAGGTTCCCCAAAGCCAGGCGTGCAACAAAGCTTTAGGTGCTAGCATGGCTGCAAAGGACACCCGGGCTCAGAGCAGCTCGGGCTGGCAGACCTGCCTCAGGCCCACAGTGACAGCAGCCAGACCCTGACCACACATCACCCACTGGCTTCCCCAGGGCAGACTTTAGGCGCCACCTACACCCGCACATGTGCCCCACAACATCCTGCGCCCTGCCAGGGAAGGTTTCCCTGGCTGAGGCAGGGACCAGCCTACTGCCCTGGGCTGGAAGAGCAACACACATTGAACGTGGGGCCAGCTGGGCATGACCCAGGCCCTCACCTGCGGCACACTTGAGCTTGGTGAGGATGGCCTGGGTCTGGCTGTCACGCTCTCCTCGCTGCTGTTGGGGGAAGAAGCCACATGCGTGAGGCCCACGCCCCACATTTCCTGGAGCTCGATGCCCAGCCCCCAGACAGAGAGGGGATGAAGGCAGATTCAGATTTGGGGGAGAATGAGGTGGGGGAGAATGAAGTGGGGCAGGATAGGAGGGGCCAGCAGTGGTCAGCAATCCTGGGGCAAGGTCTCTGAGGAGGTGGCCCGTACCTCAGCAATCTCCGGGGTAGACTCAGCCTTGCTGACATAGCTGAGCACATGAGACCAATTCTGTAAGTAGACGCTGACCTGGTGGACAAGGGGCAGGGCCAAGTGAGCCTAGGCGCTCCGATGGCCCAGCCATGCTGCCCCCACCCGCCTGCCTGCCGAGGCAGGCCGACCTTGATGACGTTGAGGCACATGTTGATGACATGCTTGGCGCTGGTGCAGTAGTCCCGGGCCCGGGAGTAGCACTTGAGGGCGTTGCTGAGGTCCCCACAGTCCAGGTAATGGTCGCCCAGGTCGTCGTGGCCGCGCCGGATGCTCTCCTTGATGGAGTTGCCTTTGTAGTTCTTCAGGTCCGTGTCCAGCTTCTCCAGCTTCAGCAAGGCCTTCTTCCGCGTGGCCTCCACCCAGGCCGTGTCCAGGGGTGGGGGCTCCACGCCACTCTCAGGGATGGCATCGGGTGCGTTCTGCAGCTCCCTGAGAGAGGACCTGGCCATCAGGATGGTGACGGTCACAGGGGCCAGGGAGGAGGGGAGGAAGCCGCCAATCTCAGGCTGCCCTCAAAGGCCCAACTGGCACACAGGTGGGCACTTCCCACTAGCCTCAAACCCCACCTCCAGGGACCAGTCTGCACCAGGGACACAGAACTGCTGCCCCCAGGAGCCTGCAGCCAGGTGGGGAAGCCAGCAGGGAGACAGCCCCTGAGCCACAGTCTCCAACAGCTCCCCTTGGAATCAAATCCCTGCGTGCACACACACAGGGCACTTCTACTCCTGGCCAAGAGACAGCGAGAAATCTACCTGCCCAACTTCCCAGCGCAGGGGTGGGAGTTGCAGGACACAGGAAGGGGGCCCAGCCCCAGGCACCTGCTCCCTTGGTGGCCTCTACTTCCTCTTACCAAGCCCCTGGCCTCACCTGGTGGCCTCTGAGAGCTTGCGGTGGATTTCCTCATACATGTCCACATTAAAGGTTCTCTGCACGAACGACAGGGCCATCTTCAGGGCCTCCACCCGCAGCGTGGGGCAGTGATCAGCAATGAACTGCAGCCGTTCGATGCGCATCAGGCCGCTGTAACTGGCTGCGTACTGCTCCAGATCCTGGGAGCGGGTGCACACGAGGGTCAGGCAGGGTGTGAGGCGGGATCCTGGCCCCAGGCCCTGAGGGTCAGGAGTTGAGGCCTGACTGTCCTAGCCAGAATGTCACCGTGGGCCCATAACAGGAACCGGGCATGGGGGTGCGAGACTGACTGCTGGTCCAGGCCCTGCAGACTCCTGGGGTGGGCCTGCGGTAGGAACCCTGGGAGTGGGGCTCTGCACTGGGGGGGTTTCGGGAATGGACATTGACTGCTGGTCGCTAGGCTGAGCGGGGAGGAGACCTGCCCTGGCTTCTTCATCAGCAGTGTCTGAAGCTGGGCTACAAGCCTCACATGAGCGAGCAATCAGAAATCCTGATGGTTTTCAGATCAGGAAAAGAGAACAGAGATCACTGAGAAGGATCATTCTACCTGCTGTGCAGGCTGCAGTGAGGAGTCTGCCCTGGACCCCTCAGTAGAACTGAGACACCCAAGGTTCCCCCACTGGGCTCCGTACCAGGCTGGGGTTCTCCACCACGTAGTTGACGTCGGGTGCATTCTGCGGGTCTTCCTGGGGGTCCACGTCGATCTGCATGGGCTCCACAGCCCCCTGCAACATGGGCCAGGCACCTGGCACCTTGTCCTGGGGACTGCCCCAGGAGGGCGAGAGACCCGCACTCTTCTCTGAGGTCAGCTCCGCCCGAGATCTTCCAGGCCAATCGGACCACACTCCCGCCGCTGCTGTCCCCCAGGCGTGCCCTCCCAGTCACCCTCGCCCCCAGCCAGGCTCCTGTGCCACCACATCAGGGAGGAGTCTCCTCACAAGACTCTAAGGCTCAGAAGCAGAAACCCCTCGCCTGATTCTAGCCGCTCGTCTCTGAAAGCCAGAAAGCAGACAGGGGACAACCAACTACACAGGGACCGAGGGCCCCTACACGTTCCCAGCCACCATCCTGATGCAGTTTCCTCCAAGCCACGGAGAAGAACGGGACGCCACCTCAACCCCAGGAGGCAGGAGGTCCAGCCCCCGGAATCTGTCCGGAGCAGCAATACTGGGCTGAGAATCACGCCACAGGGTTGGGAGAAGGAGAAAAGAGTCATCTCAGGGAGCCCCACGGCCCCAGCTGGGAGACACAGAGGAGCCAGGACCTCGGCTTAAAGCAGGCTGGAAAAGCCGCCATGCCGGGCACCCGCCGGACCCGTGGGCCTCCCGCGCTCCTTTGGGAAAAGCACCAAGAGCTCGGCTCCCTCCGCAGGGGCCCACCGGGGCACCCTCCCCTCCTGCGCTTGGCACTGCGTCCCTGTCCTCGGCCGGCAGAGCAGCAGGGGCCCAGCCACAGCAGGGGCGGCCGGGGCCCTGCTCCCCCCTCCCTCGCTCGGGGGTCCCTGTCCTGGAAGGTACCTCGTAGAGCAGCGTACAGGCCGACAGGCTGGCGCTCAGGCTGAAGTCCCCGGCCGTACCGGGCAGGAGGAGGTCTGACCTACTGCTGTGAGGGGTGCAGTACAGATCTGTCACTGACGAGGAGGCCGAGCTGGGGGCCGAGCTATCCCTCATTCTGTCCTGACTTTCTGCACCCCCCGACCCTGACACAGAGCTGGCTGGCTGCTGAAGGGAGAAAGAGCGTTAGCGTCGGGGCGGCCGGGAACCTCTCCCGTGAGCTGCTGGGAGGGGAGGCGGGGCGGGCGCGGCCCGGCGGCCCCCGACCGCAGCGCGCAGCCACGGCGGAGACGCGCCCTCGGCCCTGCAGCCCCCGACGCGCGCTGCCCGCGGAGACCCGGCACGGAGCGCGCCCGGTCGACTCCTGGCGCAGGCCCCGCGCCCCTGCTCGACCTCAGCCCGGCCCCAGCGGCGGGGGGCGCGGGGGCGCGGAAGCCTGGCGCGGCCTTGGCTCGTTACCTGCAAGTTAAACACCTGAACCGGCAGCGGCATCTTGCACCCACCCCGCCGCGGCGTGCCGTCCACTTCCGGGGCAGCGGAGCCGTCGCTTCCGGGGCGCGGGGCGCGGGGCGGGGCAGGACCGCTGCATTCTTAAAGGGGCCGCCGCCCACCCACGGCTCCGGCCCAGTTCTCCTCTCCCGGCGCCGGGGGTCCCGGCGGCCGCATGAGCCGCGCGCGTGGGGCGCTGTGCCGGGCCTGCCTCGCGCTGGCCGCGGCCCTGGCCGCGCTGCTGCTACTGCCGCTGCCGCTGCCGCTGCCCCGCGCGCCCGGCCCGGCCCGGACCCCCGCCCCGGCCCCGCGCGCGCCCCCGTCCCGGCCCGCTGCCCCCAGCCTGCGGCCCGACGACGTCTTCATAGCCGTCAAGACCACCCGGAAGAACCACGGGCCGCGCCTGCGACTGCTGCTGCACACCTGGATCTCCCGGGCCCGCCGGCAGGTGCGCCGGACCCCGATCGCAACGGCGAGCCCCACGCCCACCCTCCCCGGATCCCAGGGTCTAGGCCCGGCCCGAGCCCCCGGAGGCTCCGCGCGGGGCGGGTCGGTCCCCGGCCTGGGCAGCGCCCCCGACGCCTCATAGATTGTTTCTCTTCCAGACATTCATCTTCACCGACGGGGACGACCCTGAGCTCGAGCTCCAGGGTGGTGAGTGTCCCCCAGCCCCGGCGCCCGCGGGACCTGGCCCCCGAGACCCCGGAGCCGCGGCCACTGCGCTGCTGTGGGTGCCCTTCTCTGTCGAGGCTCCGGAGGTCCGGGGAGGCCACGACGCTGCCCAGGTCACACGGCCTGCGGAGGGCCCACCCTGCCAGCCAAGCTCTGCTCTCACACTGGCTGCTTCCCGGGGCGTGGGGCTAGTGCCACGTCCCCTGAAGAAACCCCAGCAGGGAATCCACCCTTCCAGGCCAGGTCAGGACGAGCTGCCTCCGTCCTGTTTCCTTTCAAGAGATCCCAACTGATGGCCGCCTGCTTCAGCCTCGGGGGCACCAGCAGGGTCAGCCCGTGAGAGCTAGGGCTGTGGTTGGACCCAGGCAAGGAGTCCAGGCATGTCAGACAGCCACATGATGTCCTGGCCCTTGGGGGCAGGTGGGGCACAGGCCTTATCCTGATTCCTGTGCCAGCCTCTACCTGCGTGCTTCCCCTGTCTCCGACTCGCAGGTGGTGGCCGTGTCATCAACACCAACTGTTCGGCCGTGCGCACCCGCCAGGCCCTCTGCTGCAAGATGTCCGTGGAGTACGACAAGTTCATCGAGTCTGGGCGCAAGTACGCGGCACTGACCCGACCCACGGAGAGCCCAGAGCCAAGCTGGGTGGGGACCTCCTGTCCAGCTGTGCCAGGCCCTCATGCCCAGGACTTCCGTCGCCCACAGGTGGTTTTGCCACGTGGACGATGACAATTATGTGAACCCCAGGAGCCTCCTGCACTTGCTCTCCAGCTTCTCACCCAGCCAGGACGTCTACCTGGGGCGGCCCAGCCTGGACCACCCCATCGAGGCCACCGAGAGGGTCCAGGGTGGCAGAACTGTGAGTGCCAGAGCAGATTCCTTTCTTGATGCCAGCCCAGGAGGCACAGCAGAGGGCATGGAAAGCTGGCTTGAGAAGGGCATAGGGCTGGGGGTCCAAGCTGATCCACCCAGGTGGTTTGCACGTGGTGTTTCAGGAGCAGGCCAGGAGGCCCTCATTGTACTGGGCAGAGAGGGGGTGTCTGGACCAGGTGGGGAGGGTCTGGAGACCATGGATCAATGGCCTGCAGAAGTCCCCAGCCCTTCTTGCCCCAGGAAGCTTCTGTTACCTGGATGGGATCTCCTAAGGGGCAGCTTAAGAAAGATGCCTGGGGAGTCCCATGAAGAGTCAGGGGTGAGAAGCCCTGCCCCGGAAGCTCTGACTGGCACCCCATCCCCAGGTGACCACGGTCAAGTTCTGGTTTGCTACTGGTGGGGCCGGGTTCTGCCTCAGCAGAGGCCTCGCCCTCAAGATGAGCCCGTGGGCCAGGTGAGTGGGGGTTCAGCTGCCTGGGCTGGGAGGCGGAGGCTGAGACCTGAAAGCTGCTGACCGGCCTCCCCCCAGCCTGGGCAGCTTCATGAGCACGGCTGAGCAGGTGCGGCTGCCGGACGACTGCACGGTGGGTTACATCGTGGAGGGGCTTCTGGGCGCCCGCCTGCTGCACAGCCCCCTCTTCCACTCCCACTTGGAGAACCTGCAGAGGCTACCGCCAGACACCTTGCTCCAGCAGGTACCGGCGCCACTCTGCGTCCTTCTGCCACGTGGGCTTTGCCTCACCCTGACTCCCCCAGGGGCCCCACTGCCCTGGCCTGATGCCCGGCTGAGCAGGCAGGTGGGATTTGCATGTGGCTAGGGGTGGACCCTGGAAAGGCCCCTTGGTCTGCTGGATACAGGGTCTTCAGGTACAGAAGGGGTGTGGTGTCTGGGGTGGAGGGACGAGGGGAGAAGCACAGTTCTCTGGCCAGGGAGGCCCCACGCCAGCTGGGCAGTGGGCGTGGTCTGTGTGGTGATGGGGACTCCAGCAGGTCCCATCACGTGGAGCAGGGAGGGAATGAGGATCAGCTTTGCTCTGGAGGTTTCAGATCCCTCGCTCCTGTCCCCCAGGCTCCGCCTGAGGTGTCCCCCACTCAGCTCATGGCACCCTTCAATGCTGTTCCCAAGCCTGGCCTCCCCGAGGACTCGGGGAGAAGTGGGTGGCCAAGGCGGCTGTAGCAGGGCTCCTGGCCGGGGGAAGCGTGGCCCGAGACCAGACCAGGCCACACTCTCTGCCCACACCGTTCTCTCCCAGGTTACCTTGAGCTATGGGGGTCCTGAGAACCCACATAACGTGGTGAACGTGGCTGGAGGCTTCAGCGTGCAGCAGGACCCCACACGGTGAGTGGGCAGTGGTATGGGCAGGCCCTCAGCCCCACAGGGGCTCTGGCATCAGCACGCCCACCGACAGCCCTGACCCCCACTGCTCCCTCCACCCACAGCCCTGACCCCCATCCTGAAGGTCCTTGAGGTGAGACGCCACAGCTGGAGAACCAGACCCCGGGAGTTCTTCCAGGACGCCTGCAAGCCCAAGCACAGTGGCACCCCTGAACCTGACAGGTGGGCACTGCGCAGCCCTGCCCCCTCTACTGGGGTCTGGGGCTCAGGGCTGTGGGAGCGAGGGGTTCGCTGACAGCCTCTGGCCTTTCCTGGGGGGCTGGGGGTTCCTGGGTGCTGCCGATGGGGAGTGACATGCGTGCCTACAGGGTGACCCGGAGGCGGCTCCGACGGGACTACTTTGCGGTCTTCCTCTGCATTCTGGACACGCAATGCCGGGATAGAGAGTAACTATGGCTTCTGGCTAACTCTGCCATGGAGCGCATCTGCAGCAGAAACTGGCCGCACTGCGCCTCCCAGGTGGGCCCCACCTTCCCTTGGCCCTGCCCCACCCCCCACAGCTGCTCCCCACCCCACCTTCTCCTCCCCGCAGCCCTGCCCACCTGCCCACAGCCTGGCTGCCAAAGTGGGATGCGCCATCGCGACGTGGGCACTTTAAGGACACAGTGAACATCACCCCACAGCCATCGGTGGCACGCTGCCCAGCGTTGGCCTCCTGCCTGGAGGTGCTGGACCTTTTCCCCGAACCAGCCCCACATGGTCCTGAGCAGTTTTGTGCTGGCTGAGAAGGCTGCGGCCTACAGGGACAGGGACGGCGAAAGTAGGACCTGGTGAAGGCCGTGGCATTACATCCTGGGTGTGAGTACTGCCAGCAGGAGCTGTACAGGGCAGTTCCCCTGCTGGCATCAGGTCTGCCAGGGATGGACAGCCGTGGCCCTGTGTGCCTCAGTTTCCCCATCTGCAGAGCCAGGGTGCGGGCGCAGCTGTCACTGTGGTGATGGTGCTTTGGGAGATGCACAGCCTGGGTACACCCTGCGTCAGCCCTCCTGCCTCCCCACTCCAGGTCAGTTCCCACGCGCCCCAGAACCAAGCCGCCGACTGAGCACATCCCTTCCAGGCATCCGACTGGCTGCCATCAACCTGGACAGCTCACTGGCGGACCTGGGCCTGGACTCAAGGAATGAGCGTGAGGTGCGCCAGACACTGGAGCGCTGAGCTCAACCTGGTGCTGTCCACGCGAGGTGCTTAATAGCGAACGCCTCCGGAGACTGCAGGAGCTGTCCTTGAAGGCAGATGCGACCAACGGTGCGTGCAGTGACTGGTGAGTGGGGCCCCACACCAGCCCTTCTCCTTTAAGCGGCCTGGGACTACTGCCCTAGCAGGCGTCCCACCATTCATCATGGTGCCATTCTGACTATTCCACCTCACTCCCACCAGACAGCAGCACCATGGGGACTTGCGTGCATGTCTGTGTCCTTGCGTGGGTGCTAGGCCCTGCAGCCAGATTCAGCCCGGCATTTGCCCCTGTCTTCACAGAGCTGGCATCCTCCACGCCCAAGGAGGACGGTCCGGCCCGCAGCAGACTCAACTGAACCCGCTTCTCCTGCTGGAGGAACCCCGAGGGCCCCACTCCTGATGCGGCCCACCCAGTGCAGAGCTCTGAGCCGGCCCTGTCCCTGGGTGCACCAATCGAGGGCTCCACCACTGTGTTCCATAGCCTGGCCTCCCGCCCAGCATCCCCACCATGGCCGGTGCACCCGAGGTATTCCTGGCCCTCCGACGCTGCGGTCAGTGCTGGCCAACACGGCCCGTGGCTGCCACCTGCACATGCTGAGGCCTGGCACTGTCAAGCAGCCAGCAATGACAGCATCCACAGCCTGGCTGCCTACTACATCGACCGCATCAGGCAGGTGCAGCCCGAGGGCCTACCGCGCTTCGCTACTTCCTATGAAGCTTGGCGGGTTTGAAATGTGCCCAGCTGCAGGCCCAGCAGAACTCCAGCCCCCACCCACAACAGCCTCTTTCCTGTTCGATGGCTCGCACACTTACGCATCAACACCCAGGTGAGAGCGCCAGCCCAGAGGCCTATGGAAACACACATCTGGGCTCCTCCCCTGTGCCCGCTTGGGATGGCCGCCAGAGGCCTCCGCCTCCTTCCGTCTGTTCAGCAGCCGCCCCTCCTTCCTCTCAGAGCTACTGGCAAAGCTGACTCCCAGGCTGTGAGGCTGAGTCAGACGTGAGGCCACATGCTTCTCTTCGTGCAGCAGTTCATGGACATGGAGCACAACAGGCTGGTCCCCGACACCCCTGAGGCCGCCGGACCCAGAGCACTGGGCAGGAAAGGAAGGGTGGGATGGCATGCCAAGAGCTTTATTAAAGGCCCCCAGCTTCACTCCCTTTAATAGCCGAATTTTCGGCTGGATGCAGTGGTTCACACCTCTGTAATCCCACTTAGAGGCTGAGGTGGGCGGTTGTTACCCAAGGTCAGGAGTTCGAGACCAGCCTGACCAACATGGAGAAACCTCTTCTCTACTAAAACATAAAAAAAATTAGCTGCGTGGTAGCGCCTCTGTAGTCCTAGCTACTCAGGCTGAGGCAGGAGAATCGCTTGAACCCGGGAGGTGGAGGTTGCAGTGAGCTGAAATCGCGCCACGGCACGGCCAGCCTGGGCACAAGAAAAATCTCTTTCTCAAAAAAGGCCACTTCTCAGGCGCAGCACGGTGCTGTGGGCATACCACCAGAGCTCCGAATTTCGCAGGTGCTGTGGGAAGCTGCACCACCAGAGTCCGACCAAGAGGCATGGAAAGGTCGGCACCTGCTCAGAGCCGGCTCCCACAGGTGCTGTGGGAGTGCTGGCGTGCACCTGCTCAGAGTCCGACCCTGCAGGTGCTGTGGGTGCTGCCGGCACCTGCTCAGAGCCCGACCCCACAGGTGCTGTGGGTGCTGCTGGCACCTGCTCAGAGTCCGACCCTGCAGGTGCTGGAGTGCTTGCTGCCGCTGAAGGGCCTGGAGGAGCGCGTGGCGGCCGCCGTGGACCTAATCATCAAGAGCCACCAGGGCCTGGACCGCCAGGAGCTGAGTCATGGGCCCTGGGTCCTTCTACTACAAGCTGCGTGGCCGCTGAGCAGGGCACACTTCCAAGGCTGGGCACCATGGCAACGTGATGCTGCGCGTGCCAAGACGGGTGGCGCTATGGCGAGGATCTGGGCAGCGACTACAACCTCTCCCCAGGTGTGCAAGCTGCCCAGACGGGAACGGGACGTGGAGTGGGGGTGGGGGCAGTGCATGATGGTATCTCAGTAGGTATGCGACGTGGAGAGTATCTGTCTACGCCATCGAGGGTGACCACCGCACGCTGCTAGATGGGCATGGCCTGGAGTCCATCACAAGCATCATCCACAGCTCCCCTGGCTGAGTCGCGGTGAGCTGCTATGGAGGTTAGGTCTTGCCTCTGCCACCCGAGGCCACTCCGCCATCCCCACTCCCCGCCACACGGGGCAGGAAGGGTCCTGCCGGTGGGACCCTGCCCGCCCAGTGCCACTGCCTCCGAGGCTGCTAGACGTAGGCGTTAGGGCATGTCCCACTCCACTCCACCGCCTCCCGACGGCACCTCGGGGACACCAGAGCCGCCGACTCTGGAGACTTTGGTCTGGGTGGTAAAGAGCCGGCGATGCCTGCAGGAACCGGGCTGCCTCCCGGGCGCCTGAAGGGTCCTGCTTGGTCTTTCGCGCTGATTTGCATATTTATTGCATTGCTGGTAGAGACCTCTGTGCCTGTCCACCCTGCAAAGATTCTCAGGCAGTGTGGGTCCCGCACACTGCCCTCATTTCTAATAATGTCCTGGGCAGGCACAGGTGGCTACCCAGGCCTGTTTCCTGCGGCCTCTGGCCAGGCCCCGCTCAGCCTCGCCTGCGTGAGGTCGTGTGGGCCAGTCCCATGAGCTGGGTCTCGCACAGGCACAGAGTGCCTGGCTGAGACAGCGATGCAGGTGGGCTGGAGCTCCAAATTCATGGATCAAGGCTGGCACCAACTCCGTGTTTGGTGTTTGTCTGTGTGTGTTTTTCAAGAAATGATTCAAATTGCTGCTCGGGTTTTGAAATTTACTGTAACTGTCAGTGTTCACGTCTGACCTCTGTTTCATTTTACACCAATTTGGTACCTGCCGCTCTCAGCCTCCCTACAATTAAACCGCATGTGGTCTCTGCCTGCACTCCTTCCTCCTCCTGACCAGCCAAAGCCTCCAGCTCCGTCTCTCCACCGAGTCACGGCCGTGAAGGGATGCCTCTGTCCTCTGATCCCCAGTTCCCTCTCGCACATCCCTAGGCCATGTCCCAGAGGCCAGGGCTGGGCCAGGGAGGAGGAAGGACATGGCAGCCTGGTTTCTGGGGGCAATGGGACTGGCGGGTATCGAGGTTCTGGCCAAGAACCAGCACCAGTAAGAAACGCGTAGGAGGTGTGCAGACATTGGGAAGTGGGCTTCAGCTGGGACGACTATTGTGGAGAATAGCATTTGAAGTCAGCAGATTGTAGGCATTCGCCTGCCAAAGATGCCACAGCCTCACCCACATAGCAGCGCCACGGGCTACCAGGCTGACACAGGAAGATTTGGGTTTAGGTAAAGGAGGGAGGCTGGGAGGGGAGCAAGGAGCAGGGAGCCCTGGGAACCTGGACTCCCAGCATCGAGGGGGTGGGGTGGATGCAGCTTCCAGGACCCACGGGTGGCTGTGCGGGGCACTGCAGACATGAGCTTGGGGTAGAGGCAGAGGCGCAGAGCCAGGACTGGATTTCGGAACAGGCATAACAGGCCAGCCTGGGGGTTCGGAAAGCACAGCGCACCTACAGAAGAGGCCTTCCATGAATGCCAAGGCACAGAGGTGGGGTGGGGGGAGCCAGGGAGGAGAGCCCCCTGTTGAGAGGCAGGGGAGGGCACTGGGCCATCTCCCAGGGCAGGGCAGGGCCAGGCCTGACAGGCTGAGGGTGAGGTGGGTACAGGTGGCCTGGAC